AGTATTAATTGTACAACAGTGCCTACTGACTATTTCACTGAGGAATTATGCTCAGTGGCTGCACTAAATACCTTCATTTCTTTATACTCTGCTAGAAAAGGATACCTTGTCCCTTCAATTACAGGAAATACCAAAACAAACTAAAATCATGCTCAGCTACTATGTTAAATGTCAATTTTCTGTCACTCTTGCAGCAAAGCTTTTAATATTGATTTGATAGTTTTCCTGCTTAGCATTTGGTTCCTTCTGAAGCTGCCTAGTGCCCCAAAACTGAGCTGGATTTTCTTCATGGGAAAGAGGGAAACAGGAACAGATTTGAATCTTTCTTAATTTACTTTGAAACTTCAAATAATTTTAAGTATAGTCAACAAAAAATAAACTGGATGTTGAAAATCTCACACTACAGTTTGCTGTTTTAGTGTTTTCACTTACTTGATATTCTTTATTTTTTATAGTCTGAGGAGCAAGATTCATTCATTGTCAGCAACTACAGCCAAGATCTTATTTTTACATACATGTTTTAAGAATGTCTTGTTTATTTGCACATTTTGAATGTATGGATTCTTAGTAATCCTTAAATTGTTTTGAAAGTTGGGACAAAAATTGAGTGTAAAACTCAATCCCTGTTGTGAAAACTGTGTATTTAATAAGTAGCTTCTGAGTACACCTACTGGTTTCCATGGGACTGCTTTGACATTTACAAATTAAAATATGGAAATTTCAATATATTGAAACAGGTTTAAAATGGAAATAAACAAAACATGACATGTTATCCGTAATATAAGTGTATTGGAATTTTCAGTATAAATAAGTGAATAATTATTAAAATTCTCTGTGACTTTGAATAAAAAGAAAATTTCAGTGATATGTCAGATAGCTTTCAGTGATTAGTACAGTACTCATTTCTAAGTAGAGAAAAACAGAGAGAATGCTGATTCTTGGATGAGAATTGGGAATAGAATATTTCCTTGAAAATACTTAGTGATAAAAATTAGGCTGTCTGCTGAGTCTTGGATGTAGACAGTAGTTGTGGCCTAAGAAAAACTTAATTTTCATTACTTCACATTTCTGAAAAAATATCTAGCATTTGCTTTTTAAATGGAACGTATGGATACAGCAGCACCTGTGCTCCTTGTGCATGTCTGAGCTGCACTCTTAGAATGACCTTGGCAGCTTTTAAATTGGAACTGCTCATGATAATGGTCATTAATTTTTGCTAGAAGAAAGGGTTGCTCCTTCTCCTCCCTCACTGAAAGACAGTGATCACTAAATTGCTGTCTGATGGGCTTTGCCTCACTTAAATTGCACTATTTTCTTTCAGAATTGAAGTAGCAGGGTTTGAACTTGTTCGTGGTTACAGTGTGAAGCTGCTTCTTCAACTGACTTCAATTTTTAACATCTGACTAAGGAGAAACTTAACATTACCTGTAATAATGATGTAGACAAGGCCAAGCTGTGATTGAGACAAACTGATTTGGATGTTTTCTATTAAACTCTGCTACATTTTTCTCAGCTCTGAGATGATTTAGATCAGTTCCACTTACCTATTCATTGGCTTCTGTGTGTTTTGACAAATGAGTCTCTTGTGTCTTTCTTGAGGAAAACAAAGCTGTAGACTTGCTCTGAAGAGCACTGCTAGTGGAAGAGAAAAGGCAATCTTACTGGAAAAATTCAAGAAAAAATATAAAAGAGATATTTCTAATAGCTTTAAGGGTAGATTTTCTTAATTGCTTGACAGTTTGCATCAAGACAAGGTTTTTGTTTTTCTAAGGGGAAATTAAAGAATGGTTTGAGACTCAGAAGATAAGAGTTCAGTTTACAAGCTGTCCTAGAGAATTTCAGCTTGATCTGGAGTAAATCATCTTATGGTTCAGGCTCTTAAATTAAAAGGAAAAAAAAAAAAAGCAACCAAAAAATCCCAAACAAACAAAAGAAAGACAAACTCTTCTCTTCTGAACCTGTGAGGTCTTAAGGCATGAAATGCCTTTATGGTTTCACACAGTCCTGACTTCTGTAGCCTTCTGCCTTCTGATATTTAGACAACTATGGAAATACTGTGTGTAATGACCCAAGAGTCATGGCAACTTCTTGTGAGTGGCTGATGGTTGCACCTGTGATTTGAGATAACAGAGCAAGTGTACTGTCCAAGGGACAATTTGGTCAGGTACCATTTACTCTTGTCAGTCACTGAGGATGTGCATTCAGAAGCGTTTTGGTTCCTAGAGATTCTTCCTAGGACACTCTTTTGAATGTTCTGTTCCTTGCCTTTGGTGATGGAGTAAAAGGATGTTTCATGTCACAGGCAGGAAGTGCAGTAATTCCTCTTTTATATGGATGTGAGAGAGAAGCTTGGTAGGTTTTTATTTTTGTCATAGTACAAATGGCTTGTACATAGCAGATAAAGGAGTGAACAAAACCAAAGGATATTTCTTTGGCTCCTTAGTACTCAGGATGTTCTGAATTTTGGCTTGCATGTGGTCCTTGTCAATGCTGAAGGAACACCAGACTTTGCAGTCAATGCCTGTAAAAGTTTCACAAGCCTTGTTATGTAAGGTCTCAACTTGTGTAATGGTTTCTCTTTAACCCTTAGAATTTAGCAATTGGAAATAATAGAATAAGGATTAAATAACGAAACTTGATTGCCTGAATTTATTAGGAGAGAGGAGATGTCTTCATATAAGCATTATTGAACAGCTCTGTTGTAGCAAGTTTTTAGAATAAAAAATACCCCATTTATTCTGCAGTGAGAAATATTTTTGCCCGAGGAAAAAAGTCACACTGTGACTTCTACCTGGTGTGTGCTGGGGAGCTACTGAAATCAGCATTTCATCTGGCCATGACAAATGATACCACTATTCACACCAGTGGGAACCTAGGTATGAATTATCTCAGCTGAGGCCAAGGGTGGAAAAGCTTGAGTTTCAGAAATATCTCAGATCCTTAAAACAGAGTTACAAAAAATCTAATATTTTTATATTATTCTCTATTCACTATATATTTTTAATGTTCCAGCAATCATTTACAACGTTATCTCCTGAAGTAGTATCTGGGTATTTTTTCCTACTGAAAAATGCAAGACTTTCTGTCACTTCTATTCAGAGAGCCTTGTCTTTCCTAGGCTTATTTCACTATGAAATGAGTAAGTCTGGGAGTATTTACTAATTGATTGTGTTCCAGGAAGTGAATGAGAACAATTTGCAAGAAGCATGCTGCTTTTATGCCTTTGTTATTTATAATCATAGTAGTTCAAATCTGTAAATCTTGAAAGGTAGAACTTTGTAAGACAAGGAGTACAAAAAGCTGCCAGAAGTTTCATGGAGGTACTGACACATATTGGGACAACATTTATCTTTAGTTAATATCTTTACTCAGTTTAGTGTGTGTGTATAATAAATACTGCAGACTTATCATAATTGTCCCTCAATTTGGGAAATCTATGGATTTTTCTTGAACTGGCTTCAGAGATCTTCAAGAATATTATGGCTGAGACACGGTCAGAACTTGATATGCAGTTGTATAAAAATGTGGAACTTTAGCTACAAACACATTCCTTGCTGAATTAACAAAAAGATTACTTTATTCTTTTTGTATTTGTACTTGACATATTTATTTCCTAATTCTGAATATTCCAGATTTATTACTTTTGTTTTTTTTTTTTTTCCAAAAGTATGTATCTTGCTAGTATCTGTGTTAAGCAAAGGATGACTTCGATAATTTGCTCTCTGTGATTTCCAGATTCTCTCCCCTCCCCAGTCAGAGAGGAAAGGTTGTTGTCTGATACTAGTCAATTTTGAAAGTCCCCACTGTTCCATGGATTTTTGGAGTGGTTTTGTTAGGCTGTGCCTGTGATTGAAACCACAGTCCACTGAAAAATATCTTCCAGCTCTTGGGACTGGAATAGCTGTGCTCAAACTGATCATTAAGTCATCAGTGTAATGATTTTTCTAAGTTTGGCTTGGGTTAATAGGACCTCGTAGGACAATGCAGGGTGTAGAGCTTCTGAAATTGAAGACAAACAGATATTTTTTTGCTACTTTGTAGTTGTGAAATTTGCTTTATGCTCATTACTGCAAATTATCAGGAAACAGGATGGCTGCTATCAAGTTTAGTGCAAACAAATGCTAAAAAGACTTAGTGGTTATCCCTGCTGTGTGTGTGTTTTCAGATTAAAATACAGTGATTTTATTCCCTCCTTAATCTTAGTGTTTGATGGGCATTTTAAAGAGTACAGTGATTTCAGTCTCCTTTAAAGCTTCTCACAGCAGGATATCCTAAAATGTTGAAAACAGAAGCCATCAGCCAGGTCTTCAGCAAACTGTGGTGTCTTGGGAAGTGGTTTTGTAATGATTGGTACAGTATTTAAAATATATTGTGCACAGTTACCCTCCTTATATTCTTTAATGACGATCTATTTTTAATAAAGCTATTTAGCTTGGTTAATTAGAGCTAGTCATAAATCTCTTAGTCTGCTGATTAATCTTAGGAAGTATCTTAAACCATACCAAGGGAAAATGAGGCTGTGAAGTAGCTACACATATTTTCACTTTTTATTGGCATTATACTTACAAGAAAGGTCTTTTGAAGAATACAGTGGCTTTGCCTCTGGATGCAGCTCATGGAGCTAACCTCCCATGGAAAACGGGGATAGAAAACAAATAGGCCATGGAAAAATGGAAAATAACCCATGCCAGTAATCTCACTGAGGGGTTGGATATAAACCTTCCTTCCCAGTTCTATCCTGTGTTTTATCTCAAATAGTAGGAATATAATTTGAAAAGAACTGATTATTAGTGTTCAATTGTTCTGCCTGCAGTCAGCTTTAACATATCAAAATTAATAAAATCAGGACAGCAGCAATTTAAAAATTATGGAAATTGAATAGAAGAGAAAAAACAGAGTGGGAAACATAAGATAAATGTGATTTTTCAAAATAGTAATAGTAATATATTGTGTGAAGTTATGTAGCATTTCTGAGAATTAATAATTTTGGTTTTCTGCAGGATTCAGAGTTCCCTGTTGATGCTGAAGGGATCCCGTACTTGGAGCAGGCTAAAGAGCACACTCAGCCCCTGAAATCTGGGCAGTATGAACTGAGCAGCATTTTGAAGGTGCACGACTTTGCAGTGAGCTGGTAGGAACCATGAACAGTTCATGAATTTTATTATGTATGTGTGGAGTTTTATTTTCAACAGGTCATTGAGAAGTTTTTACTGTAAGCAAGTATCTGAAAAATTACTGGCAGCAATCAGGGAGACTTCCTCTCTGAAGGATGTGAAAGTGGAAAAACTGAACATGAAATGCAATGGTAAATTCAGTAAAACGCCTGGGCAGAACTGTTTACAGATTGAGATTCATCTTTCATGTAGAGAGGCTGGGATTTGGTTAGTAGACATAAAAACAGAAACCAGAGATGACTGTAAACTCAACTTCCAGGAAACTGAATTATAGCACTGAATAGTTTTGCAATTTGTATTTGATTGCAGTTTATTCCCCTGGGTCAAAAATCAGAAGAGTTTAAATTTAGATTGGCTTGTAAGCAATGACATTTCAGGGCTTGCTAGCTGCACTGAGGAGGAATGAACCTAAAATATTTTTAAAAAAGAGTAAATGTTCATAGCAAAGTTCTGACAATTCTGACACATTGACTAAGTTTAAATATATTTTAAAACTAATTTTAAAATAAATTATTTATACATTTAATACTTACAATGCAAAGGTCATATACAGTTGCTTTTGGTGACTTCCCACATTTTGCAGTAAAAAACCACCAAGTTTTTCCATTATTTTGTGCCCGAACAACAGCAGATAGATATGGTCATGAAAGACTATTCCTTGTTTTCTTTCTCTTTCTTGAATTATATTTTTATATCATTTATGTAGATCCTTATATCCAGTGCTTTTAGTTATTGCTAGCAGAGATACTTAATGTGCTGAGAAATTCTAAGTATTTTTTGCAATTCGTAGCTTGATATTACACCTTAAGGATACAGTGCCACTTCAGCAAGCAATTTTCTCAAAAATAAATTGTGTGTCTTTACTCTTATTTGGAAACACCTTAGAACTTGGAGAAATGGTAACTATACTAAAAGAAACCTGCCAGAGAGGATATGTATTTAATTTCATATACAGAAAATATGATGTTGACTTTTATGTAAAGAAAAAGAAAATGAGAGTCTGAGATAACGCTCTGAAATTAACTGAAATGCTTCATTTAAAAATGTTGTAATATAAAACTAAGTAAAGGAAAAAAAGAATTTTAAGGTGTGCTTTGAAAAAATGTAAACAAAGCAACTGAACTTTTCATTTGCTTAAAAAATTCTCTGTGTACATTGGAGGGATGTAGTTTCTACACATTTATCTACATCTGAAAAAGACACTTAAAACATCTTTCAATTTGCAAAATTTTTTTCCTATCTGGATACTGCTATTTCAAGTCAGCCTTTTTAAGTGCTGGAAAAGAGAAACTGTCTAGTTTTTCCTGTTAGTGCTAAAGGCCCTATGGCAGCCTGCTTTGCTTTTTTCTGACAGTGTTTCCTACTGTATTGTTTTGAACACCCTGCTCAATTTCAAGCAGATTTGACAGAGGAATAACAGCCTCCCCTGTGTTTCAAGAGAACAGATCTCTGTTGAAGAAAAGGTCACTTTTAGGATCCTGCAAGTGGCTGAGAACTCAGGGAGAAGAGAAGTTGCAAATTTTGGGGGAGAAGAGCTGTAAATGGAGCTCTTACTAGATTCTATAGGATGCAATCCTAAGGCACACAGGTAATGCACACAGAGCTTGGGTTTTCAGTTTGACATTCAGCAGCTATTCAGTTCTGAATCTAGTTTTCCAAGAGGTTATTAAATGTATAAATCAAGATTTTTCAGAGAACAATGACTTAGATTAAATTATCTGTGTAGGGAATTAAATAAAAATAGCCCATCTAAAGAAATTCTGAGCATTCACTAAATGTATTTCTAGTAATTACAATTGTCTATCTGATTTTTACATACACAAGGGGAAATCCATATGCACTAGATGAAAATTAATTTTTTCTTGTAGTTCATAGGATAGATGGAAAACATTCTGTTGACTGATAAGACCAGATTTTTCTCACCAGAACCAGTATATCAAAAGGACAGAACAAAATCTGGTTTGTGTATGGGTATTACTGGGTTCTTTTACATTTCTGTAGAAACTGGAGCACCTGCAAATCCAAATTCACAATTTTGCACAAGCTCACATAAGTTCTTCAGACCTTCATCAGTATTCATTGAAATGCAGAATAGTGAAGGGGGAGGAAATATCCCTTGGGAAACCATGTTTATGTGCTGCTAAGCTGAATGATTCCCACTTCTCAAATCATCACATAGGCATTCCTTTCCTGCATTAAATTCACATTGCTCCAGTGTCCTTTTAAATGTCCTGGTGAATGTTACTGTAGCTACAAGAAGCACTGTAATAAAATCTACAGTGGGTAAAGGATCTTCATTAATCTTACTTGTCCACTTTCTCCTCACTTGCTTTCTGCATCTTTGCTGTAACCTTTTGTATTGTTTCCCAGGGAAAATACCTCTGCAGTCAGCACATGCAATGCTACATCTGTCCTGGTTTATCTTGTCTTCACTTGGGGAAAGAAAGGTGTCCACACAAACAGTAATCAGTGCATTTTGATGTTTAGCACAGCGTTGGAAACCAGGAAAATGCCAGGTTTTATGGTGGAGAGATGATTAACCAAGAGGAAGTTGAAAAAATAAGCAGTAATCATCTTGGCTTTTTTGGTAATTGTTTAAGATGTCATGGTCTTGCCTTTCCTGCCTTTCCTAAGTCCTCCATTCAAAGCACTCACTGCCTTGATGCACTTAGAGTCAGAATTGTCATAGAATTGGTAAATATGGCTTTATATAGGTTCCAGGGGATGTTTGCATTAGATATTAGGAAGAATTCCTTCACTGACAGGGTGGTCAGGTGCTGGCACAGGCTGCCCAGGGCAGTGGTGGAATCACTGAAGTGTCCCTGGAAGTGCTCAGAAGGAATGTAGGTGTGGCACTTGGGGAAATGGCATAGTGGTGAACCACAGTGGAGCTGAGCTGAACTTGCTGTCTTTGGAGGTCTTTTCCAACCTTAGATATTCTGTGATTCTATGTTTAAATGGATTTTTACCTACTATGTACTTGCATAAATAGGAAATGTATATTGTTCTTGTTTACATGTAACCTGATGTTCTCAAATCTTTTATCCTTGTTTGATAATGTAGAAGAAAAAGACAGAAAATTGCTAATGCTCTGCCTAGGCACCTTAAAAATAGGAAGGTGGAGATAATAGTAAAGAAAAGCAAATACAAAATGTTTAGTGATTATCTTGCATTTCCTGATTGGCCCAGTAAAAGATAACTTTTCAATAAGGTCTAATTCAACCTTATATCTTACTATACTAGTTTCCCCTATTTTTTATCAGTGAATTCCAGAGAAGATTTAAAAAATATCTCCTTGGGAACCATGCAAATTGACTTGCAGCATAAAATTGTTTAACTGAAATTAAAGGTACAATCTTGTAGAGCCTTATGCCAAGAGATGGAGGTAAGGAAGTACTGCAGAACCCTGGACTCTTTTCAGTTCACACTGACCATTTTTCTCCTTAGCACCTGAGCACATACATGCACACAGATGCACATCCACATCACACACAGGAGCCAGCTTTGCAGGGAAGAGAATCCTTTGAGTGTTGGCATGAGGAAATTCTTTTGACATAGATTATAGCCTGAATGGTGGTGGTATTGGTGTGCACTGTATTTCAGAGTTCCAAGTTTTCCATTTACTTGGTAAGGTGGTGAGGCACAGGGAATTTGGCAGTGTGTTAAGAACGAGGTGTTTTGTTATATTGATCAGATTTGACACTTGCTCTCTACTAGGTCCTTTCTAAACATAACTCCTTGTTTTCATTTTCATTCCCAGACTTCGGCTTTCTTAGAGTTACTTGTGGGAAGAAGAGGATATTGAAATTATGTTGTGTGTTAATGAAGTAGCACAGATGATTTTTAAGCAAACATCTTGGTAGTTCTTTTTGCTGCTGCTCCTATTTGCCAAGAGCTCTGCATTAAAATCTCAAAGCAGCTTTGTCGTGGTCTGTCTTGTCACTACCCTTGGTATCCTTCTCTGGGATGCCTGTAGAGTTCTGCCAACAGTTACCCTGATGGTTTGCTGAGACTGCTGCCTGTCAGGCTGACAAATGTCAGTTCCCTTTTTCCTGTGTTCTGCCCATTTGTTTCCATCTCTCTGTTGCCTTAGAGCTGGTGAAGTAATGTCATTTTATTCTGTCTCTGAACAATGCCAAGCAAAATAGGGTCTGTCTTCCAAGAGGTGATCAGTCATATGCATCTTTGTGTCCTTGTGTAACACAAGGCAGGAAAGAGGATTCAAAGTCCAAAATTCATGAGGAAATATCCTCTTGAAGAGTTTACTGAGGTTGAAAAAAAATCCTTACAAATTATTTAAACCCTCTTCTTCCCTCCTAGGGTATTAGAAACGATTTTTTTTTATTATTAAATTACATTTTTCCATTAACAGTAAAACTTTTTAATTGTGCCATCATATGCTGATTTCTTGCATGAGTAGCCAGAGTGACTTGGAGATTTGCATTAGCAACATGAGCTGCTGTTTAATTTTCCTACAGAAATTATACCTGCTTTTAAAGGAATATGACATATGAGCAAAGCCAGAGAGAGCTGGGGCTGCTCAGCCAGGAGAAAAGAAGGCTCAGGGGCAGATCTCATCCATCAATGTGCACAAATATTGAAGGGAGGGTGCTAAAAGGTGCCTGTAAACACATGTTAATACACAGTGTGTATAAATTAAATCTAATAATACTCACAAGTATATTTGTGCTGATCATTTTCACATCTGCTGAAGAAGGGTAGACAGTGAGTTGAAGAATTGGATTTTTATGTGTGCTGAAATATTCAAATACTCCATTTGGCCTCTTTTGAAATATTCAAATTCTATGTCTTTTCAAAAACAAAAGCAATATGAGTGGGAGCTTGGGTTAATTTTTATCTCCTTGTATATATGACAAGAAATTCCTGATTCTCATGTTTTATTTTCATCTCCCAGTTTGATCACCCTTTGAATATATTTGAAGAAACTGGTGTTAGA